CCGCCACGGGCGGGCGGACATCCCCGCGCCGGAGGAAGCGGTTGCCGCTCAAACCCACTTCCCCAGCGGACACTGTCCCCCATCCCGCTGCAGGGAACCCCCCAGGGTGCTCAGGACCAGTTTGGTCTGCGGGACAGGATGCGAGCCGGGACGTCACCGCTGCCACCAGCGCTCGGAGCTGCGGGATGACGTGGTCAGGCCCAGCCCATCCGGGACATGAGCAGTCACTAGAAAACAAACTGGAGGGGACCATTAATCACCAGGGCCGAGGAAGGGAGGAAAGCGAACGCGGCAGCTTCGTCAGCACCGCTCGGCGGGCGAGGAGACCCGCACGATGGGTCCGGGTGCTGCCGGGTCAGCTCGTCCCTCTCTACAGCGAACAGCCCCGCAAATGAAGAGGCTGAGCTCCGAGAGAGACCGCGGCGGCCAGCACGGCCATAGCAGCCCAGCACCGTGGCTGGGAACCGCAGACTTGGTCTGCGTTCGACCTGCTGGGCCATCCTGGTGGTCCCCGCTCCGCACACAACACCCCTCTAGCACACCGAGCCCGGCTACGGTCGGAAAGGCTCGGCAGAGTTTGGCGGACCGCCTTCCGACCTGCCTGCCGCCTTTATTCTATGTGATTTTTAACTGGGAAAGCATTTACGTCTTCGGACTAGACTGGGCAACCGGGCTGGCGGTTTGCTGGGGTTTGGCCAGCTCTGCGCTGCCTGGTGTATTTTAGCAGCGCGCACCGAGCCCGCTGCTCTGCAAGCAGAAGCCAGACACCTCCAGCAGCCCAAACTCACGTGCCCATGCAGCTCCTCAGGCTTCCAAAACAGAAAAAAAAACCCGCAAAATATAAAAAATACAAAAAATATAATAAAAGCCACACTTTGCCAGCAGACAAGCGCGCAGCGTAGTCACCTCAAAGGCTTTCTTTTCCAACTGATGGCGCTTTTCAGCCTCCTGCAGCTTTGTGAACAGCCGCTTCGCTGTCTGTCGGATCTTCTCCACGTCTTCACCTGAGCAGTCCTCCTCCTGCGGAGACGGTAACAGGACAGGATGAGCAGTCGGGAGGTATCAAAGGAGCCCTCCGCCCCAACGTGGGCAGCGCTGCTGGTGACAAAGCCCGGTAACATCACTTCTCGGCTTGACAAAACGAAAGGCGCTCCTGTCCTCACCTCCCACGCTTGAGCAACAGCTTCCAGCCCTCACGATAACGCGCACGGCATCCTTCGGCTGCCTTCCAAGCCCTGTTTGCAGGATGCCATCCTGATCCGTGCTTGGGCAACCTGAAACCCCGCAACCTGACCCAGGTCCGCAGCAGCCCAGCCCGAAACCCCGGCCCAGAGCGTCTGCCCCGGCCAGGGGAAAGACGATGAGCTGGAGAAATATGTACCAGCTTAAGGTTCCTGTTACCCCTTCTGCTAAAAAGCTCTCGTGTGCAGAGGTTTAAAAGTGCCCATTACGCACATTTTCATCGCTCTAACAGAGCTTTATTTCCCATCTGACCCCGACAAGCAGAGTTTGCTGCAGGAGCACCCGATCGCGCGCTGAACAGGTCCTGCTGGGAGGAGGATGTCACACCAAACCCGGTATTTCTTTCCGCAGCACTGAAATGCCCCTCTCGGCTCCATACCTGCTCCTCCCAGGAATCGGCATGCAGCCTCTCGGGGTACAGCCAGCTCCCGTTCTGCTTTTCCAGCACGACCTGCGTAAGCCAAGGACAGACGGACAGGGGTGTAACGCCGCCGGCACAGCCGCCGGCGCGAGAGCAGTCGCATGCAGACAGCTAGCTCTGGGGCACCGCAGCAACTCGAGGCCGAGGGGGGGGTTCTGCAAACGAACATGCAACAGTGCATTTGGCCAGCCAATGCGCTTTGCTTACTGACTCCTCGTTACATGCTGGTGTGGGCTTCCGATTTTGCCTGTGAACGTGGCTTTCGTTCGCCACAAGCGCCTCGATCTTTAGGGCCCCTGCTACCACTTTCCGGACCCGAAGATGACATCTTTTTAATAAGTCAACGTCATTTAACGCCCGAGAAGTGCTCCCGTTACCTGTGCGTGCTGTTTATCTCCTTGTCTGTTCTCAAGTTTACTACTTAAGTCTTCCCGCAGCTTCTTCAAAGAACTTCTAGCCTGGCAAAGGCAAGTCAATTTAGCTCGATCTGCACAGACAGCGTCACGCAGCCTAACAGAAATCAAACGAAGGCGCGGCGGCTGCTACGATGCCCTGCGCCGATACGCAATCGACGGCTTCTCTGCCAGCCTGACCCTCTGGTTTTTACTACAGCCCTGCCTGCAAGCAGCACCGTCTCTGGCAGATGGGATCCTTGTGAGGCAGCTGTCCCACACAACCACGGGAAGGAAAAAAAAAAAAAATTAAAAAAAAAGCAACGAGCTGGAGACGCTACTGATTTTTCATGCATTAGTCATCGACTTCACCTCTGAAGTACCGAGAAGACCCTTGCTGTTCCCCGGCTCCCTCTCCGCCACGCTGCAGGACGCCGACAAGTACAGTCTTGACTTGCAGCTACTCGAATTAGTCAGAGCAAGCGAGCCAGAGGAATGATTTACAGGCTTTTACAGCAAACGCTGCCCCAACGCTTTTCAAAGAAAAGCTTTCTCAGAGCATTAGCAGCGTGGCTTTATCCCAACCCCTTGATTTTAGATGCCCGCGGCGCTGGGGCGAAGCGGTTTGCTGGAGAGCGGGCAGCGGCAGGACAAGGGACCGGGCGCACGGCGCGCGCCTCTCGGGTCAGCGATCGAGCCCTTAACCCGAGGAGAGCGACCCGTGACTTTGATCCCGCTGGATCACGAAGTCCCCAGGGTTTTTACACCACGACCCAGCTCAGGGCGCTCCTCTGGGATGCGGACAGACTGGTACCGCCACCGCGACTTACTGGTTTAGCTTATTCTCTGGTTTTCACATGCAGGGTTAAGCCGTACGGCGCGGTTACGCTGCTTCAGCTATTCTGATAGGGCTACGTCCGGCCTCTGCGGCCAGGCGAGGTCTACGTCCCGCTCAAGTACCGCTAAAACGCCCTTTTAAACCCCGGCTGCTGTTTCCGTCCGAGCTGCGGGCAGCTACGGGAAGGCTCAGATCAGGAGAGCTGAAGTGGAAGCCCCGGGAGGGGGAAGGATCACGCGCAAAAACTGCGGCATCCAGGTGGCTGCGAGATAAGGTCTGGGCGAGCTACGCCCCCGCAGCGCTGCAGCCCTGGGCAGGTCTGGGTTGCAGGCAGGAGGCAGCGGGAACAGGCTGTTTTCTTTCGGGGGGGGAAAAACATGCGTTTGGGCAGAGTCAGAAGGATGACGTAAAAGATCCGGAGGCCGCCCGAGCAGATCAGCCCCTCGCTGCTCCCTGGGGCCAGCACAGAAACTCCCCCATGAGAGCAAACCCAATTTTTTTATTTTAATTTTTT